ATATACAATTACCTATATATAGAGATATATATATATATATATATACATATATATATAAATATATAAACAATATCACAAAATACATATACTATATATAAATATATGTAGATATGAAATAGAGAAAGATAGATTAGAGATAAATATACATATATAATAGACTCATAGATAGAGGTATATATAGATATAGCTCCTCTCTCTCTGCTCTCTCTCTCTCTCTCTCTCTCTCTCTCTCTTTCTCTCTCTCTCTTCCCCACTCTTTCTCTCTTCTCCTCCTCTCTCTCACCCGTATCTCGCTCTCCCCTCCTCTCTCTCTCCCCCCTCTTTCGCTATTTCTCTCTCTCTCTCCCTCGTCTCTCCCTCTCTCTCTAGCTCTCTCTACTCGCTAGAATTCTGAATCCCACAAACATCCTACAATGTCCTTTATTACAACACGAGAAGTGTCCCCTCAGCCACTGGTTTCTGAGGCTCAGTTCACTAACCCAAACCAACCCCCATAGAGCCTCAGGACAGCACTCAGAAAATCTGGCCCAACCAAATCATCAAAGCAAACACCTATTGGAAAGACACCACAAAAAATCCAAGTAAACTTCAATGCTATTTGGCTCTAAACAGACAGCACACAGCTCAGTGAGCAAAGTCTGTCTATAGAGACCGGTCATCACAGGCATACCTGGCTGCCCAGAGAGGACAGGCTGTGCTCACTCTGCCCCAGGGGAGATGTAGAGGCAGAGCTGCATTTCCTATTACACTGTGACAAATACTCAGACGTAAGAGACCTAAGAAAAAAAGTGAATATTTATTGGGTGAAAAGCCAAAATATGCAGATTTGGCAGCCAAATATGTGTCCTCCTGCCACAACCTGGAGGGACAGACAGTGAAAAGTGCAATGTAATGTCAATAATATTTCCCATTTAGTTTTGTTTTGGCTTTCATACCATGCCATGTGGCTTCTCAGTCATGTTGAGACTGGCCTACTACTATTGCTTTAATGTATTATTATTATTATTATCATGAATATTGTTGTTGTAGTTGCTGTTAATGGTCATCCCATTTCCACTACTACTAATACTACTATTATTATTGTTGATGCCTTATTGCTGTTGGTCCCACAATTTTTTGTTATATGTATATTTTGACAATGTAAGTAATTTAACTTGCCATGTCAATAAACTCTACTGAATTGAAATTGATAGAAAGAGACACGGAGAAAGAGAGAAATAGACAAGAGAGATCACGAGAGAATGGCAATGTGTGACAAGGGGTGAAGGCAAGGCAGAGAGAGAGAAGGAGAGAGAGAGAGAGAGAGAGACAGAGAGAGGGAGAGAAAAATAGAGAGAAAGAAAGAGATTATGTATATATATGAGAGAGAGAGAGAGAGTGAGAGAGAGAGAGAGAGAGAGAGAGAGAGAAATAGAGAGAGATCGCGAGTGAATGGCCCTGTGAGTGATAAGAGGAGAGAGAAATACAGAGTGACAGTGTGTCATAGAGGTGTAGGCAGAATGAAGAAATGAGTCTCCATACACTTAGATCAGATGCAAATGTCAGTACGCCGAGGGAGCACCCCCCCTATCCACATCGACGGGACCACTGTGGAGAAGGTGGAAAGCTTCAAGTTCCTCTGCGTACACATCACTTGCAAACTGAAATGGTCCACCCACACAGACAGTGTGGTGAAGAAAGCGCAACAGCGCCTCTTCAACCTCAGAAGGCTGAAGAAATTTGGCTTGGCACCTAAAACCCTCACAAACCTTTACAGATGCACAATTGAGAGCATCCTGTCGGGCTGTATCATCGCCTGGTACGGCAACTGCACCGCCCGCAACCCCAGGGCTCTCCAGAGGATGGTGCGGTCTGCCCAACCCATCACCGGGGGCAAACTACCAGCCCTCCAGGACACCTACAGCACCCGATGTCACAGGAAGTCCAAAAAGATAATCAAGGACAACAACCACCTGAGCCACTGCCTGTTCACCCCGCTATCATCCAGAAGGAGAGGTCAGTACAGGTGCATCAAAGCTGGGATCGAGAGACTGAAAAACAGCTTCAATCTCAAGGCCATCAGACTGTTAAATAGCCATCACTAGCACATTAGAGGCTGCTGCCTATATACATAGATTAGAAATCACTGGCCACTTTAATAAATGGAACACTAATCACCTTCATAATGTTTACATATCTTGCATTACTCATCTCATATGTTGGCCCTCCTGTAGCTCAGTTGGTGGAGCACGGTGCTTGCAATGCAAGGGTTGTGGGTTTGATTCCCACGGGGGCCAGTATGAAAAATGTATGCACTCACTAATTGGAAGTCGCTCTGGATAAGAGCGTCTGCTAAATGACTAAAATGTAAATGTAATATACTGTATTCTATACTATTCTACTGTATCTTAGTCTATGCAGCTCTGACATTGCTCGTTCATATATATATATTCTTAATTCCATTGCTTTACTTAGATTTGTGTGTTTTGGGTATATGTTGTGAAATTGTTAGATATTACTGCACTGTCGGAGCTAGAAACACAAGCATTTCGCTACACCCGCAATAACATCTGCTAAACACGTGTATGTGACCAATAAAATGTGATTTTGATTTGATTTCATCACTAAACCTGAAAAGACCTTTGTTAGAGTATGAGATGTATACAGATACAGATACAGAGACCCCATACTGTTTGAACTCAAGTCTGATACAGACACACTCCAGGGTGAAGTTTCCCCTAGGTACAGATCTAGGACCAGCTTCTCCTCCCCCAATCCTAACCTTAACCATTAGTGGGTATGGTCATCCTCTTCACAAGCGTTGGATCAAGTGAGAGAAAGAGAGACGGACAGACGGACAGATAGTTGCGGTCATTGCAGATAAAGGTGGCACATCCTGTTATTGAGTGTAAGGGGGCAATTACTTTTTCACACAGGGGAATTGGGTGTTAACTTTGTTAATTAAATAAATAAAATAAATATCCTTTTTTTTAAATTATTTGTAAACTCAGTTTTCCCCTTTATCTAATATTAGGTATTGGTTGAAGATCTGATAACATTCAGTATAGAAAATATACAACAATAAAGAAAATCAGAAAGGGGGCAAATACTTTTTCACGGCACTGTAGATAGAGAGATGGAGAGACAGACAGAAAGACAGACAGAGAGAGAGAGAGAGAGAGAGAGAGGGGGGGGAGAGAGAGAGACACACAAACAAATAATGAGAAAACTAAAAGATAATTACTTGACACATTGGAAAGAATTAATTAAAAAAACAGAGCAAACTAGAATGCTATTTGGCCCAAAACAGAGAGTACACAGTGGCAGTATACCTAACCGCTGTGATTGACCCAAACTTAAGGAATGCTTTGACTATGTACAGACTCAGTGAGCATAGCCTTGCTATTGAGAAAAGCCGCAGTAGGCAGACCTGGCTCTCAAGAGAAGACAGGCTATGTGCACACTGCCCACAAAATGAGGTGGAAACTGAGCTGCACTTCCTAACCTCCTGTCAAATGTATGACCATTATTAGATACACATACAGTGCATTTGGAAAGTATTCAGACCCCTTCACTTTTTCCACATTTTGTTACTTTACAGCCTTATTCTAAAATTGATTAAATTGTTTTTCCCCTAATCAATCTACACACAATACCCCATAATGGCAAAACAAAAACATATTTTTTTGCAATTTTTGCAAATCTATTTAAAATAAAAAATGGAAATATGACATTTACATAAGTATTCAGACCCTTTACTCAGTACTTTGTTGAAGCGCCTTTGGCAGCGATTACAGCCTCGTGTTTTCTTGGGTATGACACTATAAGCTTGGCACACCTACATTCTTCTCTGCAGATCCTCTCAAGCTCTGTCAGGTTGGATGGGGAGCGTCGCTGCACAGCTATTTTCAGGTCTCTCCAGAGATGTTAGATCAGGTTCAAGTCCGGGCTCTGGCTGGGCCACTCAAGGACATTCAGAGACTTGTCCCGAAGCCACTCCTGCGTTGTCTTCGCTGTGTGCTTAGGGTCGCTGTCCTGTTGGAAGGTGAACCTTTGCTCCAGTCTGAGGTCCTGAGCACTCCAATCAGATTTTCATCAAGGATCTCTCTGTCCTTTGCGCCGTTCATCTTTCCCTCGATCCTGACTAGTCTCCCAGTCCCTGCCGCTGAAAAACATCACCACAGCATGATGCTGCCACCACCATGCTTCACCGTAGGGATGGTGCCAGGTTTCCTCCAGGCCAAAGAGTTAAATCTTGGTTTCATCAGACCAGAGAATCTTGTTTCTCATGGTCTGAGAGTCCTTTAGGTGCCTTTTGGCAAACTCCAAGCGGGCTGTCATGTGCCTTTTACAGAGGAGTGGCTTCCGTCTGGCCACTCTACCATAAAGGCCTGATTGGTGGAGTGCTGCAGAGATGGTTGTCCTTCTGGAAGGTTTTTGCTCTGACATGCACTGTCAACTGTGGGACCTTATATAGACAGGAGTGTGCCTTTCCAAATCATGTCCAATCAATTCAATTTACCACAGGTGGACTCCAATCAAGTTGTAGAAACATCTCAAGGATGATCAATGGAAACAGGATGCACCTGAGCTCAATTTCGAGTCTCATAGCAAAGGGTCTGAATACTTATGTAAATAAGGTATTTCTGTTTTTTATTTTTTATACACTGTCATTATGTGGTATTGTGTCTAGATTGATGAGGAAAACATTTAATTTAATCCATTTTAGAATAAGGCTGTAACGTAACAACATTTGGAAAAAGGGAAGGGGTCTGAAAACTTTCCGAATGCACTGTATTTCCCTCAGATTACACAGACCCACAAAGAATTTGAAAATAAACCCAATTTTGATCAACTCCATCACAGCAGGGAGAGAGAGAGCGAGAGAGAGAGAGAGAGAGAGAGAGAGAGAGAGAGAGTAGGGAGCGAGAGCAAGAGACTATATATCAGAGACACAGTGACAACAGTGCCAGTCCTGGACAGTGACAGTGTGATTGGAAGCGTGACAGTGACAATGACAGTTACCTAGTGACGAGCACGGCCGTGTCCACAGGTGGAATGTCGTCCCTGCCCCCGGGCACGTAATTGTTGCCTAGGTAACGGGGGCCGCCATACTCCTCCCACTGCCACTGACAGAAGCTCTCCAGGGACCTTTCTCCGTGGTGGCCCACCTTCAGCCTGTCCTGTGGAGGAAACAGGAAAGGAGACAAGACAAGGAGATAAGGAAAGGCGATGAGGACATAATCTCTCCAGAGACCTCTCTCCGTGGTGGCCCACCTTCAGCCTGTCCTGTGGAGAAAACAGGACAGAGTCACACACAGGGTCCGGGAAGGAGACGTGGGAAGGAGACAAGGCGTATAAACAAGGAGAAATAATAGAGGAGAATTGATAGGAGCTCTCCCAGGACCTCTCCCTCCCTGTGGAAAGAGGAGAAGGGACAAAAGCCCTTGTAGTAGGATGAAGTGTCCTCAAGAAAGCTGTCTGAAGGTCGGTTGAGCCTTTTCCAAGCTGGTCCTAGATCTGTGCATAAGGGCGACATCGACCCTGTAGCTTTGTTTTGGCACGGGACATTATATACAGTAATATTATTGAGGTATAAAGCCCTGCTGAGGGTGTAGGGTGAAGTTCCCCCTAAACACTGATTTCTGGTCAATTATTGTTTTTCACCACTAATGATTAAGTTTAGGATTGGGGGAGGGGAAGCTGATCCTAGATCTGAACTAGGGGAAACTTCACCCCGGAGCCGTGCTGAGGGAGTTTAGGGAGAGATAGCTATTTAAAGATGCTGGACCCAGACACGTTATTATACTGACTCTTATCAGTACTGCTCTGCCGAGATGCACACACACACACACACACTTGACACCAATTTAGACTGGCTCTCCGGGGCCCTGTTAGAGTAGAGAGATAAATCAATTAGGATGGGGAAAACAGTGGGAAACTCTCTCTCACACACACACACGCACAAACACATTCCTTCTCTTTTTCTCTCTCTGTCTCTCTCTCACTCTCTCTCTTTCTCACACATACACATGCACACACACACGCACGCACGCATGCACGCACATACACACAGAGGATACATTACAAGTCCTGAGGCCAATGATAAAACTAAGTAGAAAAACAGTTGGGTGGGCCCTGAATCTTCAACGACTTAGTATGTGGGGGTCAGAAGGTTCAAGAGAGGTCATGGAAGGTCAAAGAAGGTCAAAGGTTTGAGGTCAGAACTTACTGGGCGGTTGTGGAGCAGGACCAGCTTGGTGACCCGTATGTTGATTCTGACGCCCAGAGTCTTGCTGTTAAACATGTTGTACACCTGCAAGAGTATCGCCCACATTATTATCATCATCATCATCATCATCATTTAAATCAACAATTAATCAACAATTAACATTACTAACAATCATTTGTTAGTGTACTTAATTACTTAATTAGTGTACTTCACTGATACACCCAAACTAAACAGCTGATATGAGTGTTGAAGGTGGTGTAGCCCATATGGCTCTGGTCAAAAGTAGTGCACTATGTAGGGAATAAGGTACCATTTGGGACGTACAGTTGAAGTCGGAAGTTTACATACACTTAGGTTGGAGTCATTAAAACTCGTTTTTCAACCACTCCACAAGTTTTTTGTTAACAAACGATAGTTTTGGCAAGTCGGTTAGGACATCTACTTTGTGCATTTTTCCAACAATTGTTTACAGACAGATTATTTCACTTATAATTCACTGTATCACAATTCCAGTGGGTCAGAAGTTTACATACACTAAGTTGACTGTGCCTTTAAACAGCTTGGAAAATTCCAGGAAATTATGTCATGGATTTAGAAGCTTCTGATAGGCTAATTGACATAATTTGAGTCAATTGGAGGTGTACCTGTGGATGTATTTCAAGGCCTACCTTCAAACTCAGTGCCTCTTTGCTTGACATCATGGGAAAATCAAAAGAAATCAGCCAAGACCTCAGAAAAATATTTGTAGACCTCCACAAGTCTGGTTCATCCTTGGGAGCAATTTCCAAACGCCTGAAGGTACCACATTCATCTGTACAAACAATAGTACGCAAGTATAAACACCATGGGACCACGCAGCCGTCATACCGCTCAGGAAGGAGACGCGTTCTGTCTCCGAGAGATGAACGTGCTTTGGTGCGAAAAGTGCAAATCAGTCCCAGAACAACAGCAAAGGACCTTGTGAAGATGCTGGAGGAAACAGGTACAAAAGTATCTATATCCACAGTAAAACGAGTCCTATATCGACATAACCTGAAAGGCCGCTCAGCAAGGAAGAAGCCACTGCTCCAAAACCGCCATAAAAAAGCCAGACTACGGTTTGCAACTGCACATGAGGACAAAGATCATACTTTTTGGAGAAATGTCCTCTGGTCTGATGAAACAAAAATAGAACTGTTTGGCCATAATGACCATCGTTATGTTTGGAGGAAAAAGGGGGATGCTTGCAAGCCAAAGAACACCATCCCAACCGTGAAGAACGGGGTTCGCAGCATCATGCTGTGGGGGTGCTTTGCTGCATGAGGGACTGGTGCACTTCACAAAATAGATGGCATCATGAGGAAGGAAAATAATGTTGATATATTGAAGCAACATCTCAAGACATCAGTCAGGAAGTTAAAGCTTGGTCGCAAATGGGTCTTCCAAATGGACAATGTTGTGGCAAAATGGCTTAAGGACAACAAAGTCAAGGTATTGGAGTGGCCATCACAAAGCCCTGACCTCAGTCCTATAGAAAATGTGTGGGCAGAACTGAAAAAGCGTGTGCGAGCAAGGAGGCCTACAAACCTGACTCGGTTACACCAGCTCTGTCAGGAGGAATGGGCCAAAATTCACCCAACTTATTGTGGGAAGCTTGTGGAAGGCTACCCAAAACGTTTGACCCAAGTTAAACAATTTAAAGGCAATGCTACCAAATACAAATTGAGTGTATGTAAACTTCTGACCCACTGGGAATGTGATGAATGAAATAAAAGCTGAAATAAATAATTCTCTCTACTATTATTCTGACATTTCACATTCTTCAAATAAAGTGGTGATCCTAACTGACCTAAGACAAGGAATTATTACTATGATTAAATGTCAGGAATTGTGAAAATCTGAGTTAAAATCTATTTGGCTAAGGTGTATGTAAACTTCCGACTTCAACTGTATCCCCTGTGTTTCCTACATGGTGGATGGTTAGTTGCTGATTTCTTGCGGGTCGCAGCTTGACCAGGGCTGGCTAAAAAACATTGGTTTTGTGCCAATAATCACCCAAGTAATCATTTGAAAACGGGCTTGGAATCCATCATAGTCAAGACAATAGAAGACGACCACACTACTCGATAGAAGACGACCACACTACTCGATAGAAGACGACCACACTACTCAATAGAAGACGACCACACTACTCAATAGAAGACGACCACACTACTCAATAGAAGACGACCACACTACTCAATAGAAGACGACCACACTACTCAATAGAAGACGACCACACTACTCAATAGAAGACGACCACACTACTCAATAGAAGATGACCACACTACTCAATAGAAGATGACCACACTACTCAATAGAAGACGACCACACTACTCGATAGAAGATGACCACAGGTGATAAGGGTAGGTAACAACACATCTGCCACAATGATCCTCAACACGGGGGCCCCTCAGGGGTCCGTGCTCAGTCCCCTCCTGTACTCTCTGTTTACCCATGACTGCATGGCCAGGCACGACTCCAACACCATCATTAAGTTTGCCGACGACACAACAGTGGTAGGCCTGATCACCGACAACGATGAGACAGCCTATAGGGAGGAGGTCAGAGACCTGGCCGTGTGGTGCCAGGATAACAACATCTCCCTCAATGTGACCAAGACAAAGGAGATTCTCATCGACGGGGCTGTAGTGGAACAGGTTGAGAGCTTCAAGTTCCTTGGTGTCCACATCACCAACGAACTATCATGGTCCAAACACACCAAGACAGTCGTGAAGACGGCACGAAAAAGCCTATTCCCCCTCAGGAGACTGAAAAGATTTGGCATGGTTCCTCAGATCCTCAAAAAAGTATACAGCTGCACCATCGAGAGCATCCTGACTGGTTGCATCACCGCCTGGTATGGCAACTGCTTGGCCTCCGACCTCAAGGCACTACAGAGGGTAGTGTGTACGGCCCAGTACATCACTGGGGCCAAGCTTCCTGCCATCCAGGACCTCTATACCAGGCGGTGTCAGAGGAAGGCCCTCAAAATTGTCAAAGACTCCAGCCACCCTAGTCATAGACTGTTCTCTCTGCTACCGCACGGCAAGCGGTACCGGAGTGCCAAGTATAGGTCCAAAAGACTTCTCAACAGCTTCTACCCCCAAGCCATTAGACTCCTGAACAGCTAATCATGGCTACCCGGACTATTTGCACTGCCCACCCACCCCATCTTTTTACCGCACGGCAAGCGGTACCGGAGTGCCAAGTCTAGGTCCAAAAGACTTCTCAACAGCTTCTACCCCCAAGCCATAAGACTCCTGAACAGCTAATCATGGCTACCTGGACTATTTGCACTGCCACCCCACCCCACCCCCCACCTCATCTTTTTACGCTGCTGCTACTCTGTTAATTATTTACGCATAGTCACTTTAACTATACCCACATGTACATATTACTTCAACTACCTCAACTAGCCGGTGCCCCGCACACTGTCTCTCTGTCTCTGTACACTGACTAAAGCTGGTAATCTACTGTGGTAATGAAGTTAAGGCAGCAGCAGTTGAGCCTAGAGCAGAACTGGCAAGAAAAGACACACACACACAAATCTACTTTGTTTTCTTTCTAAAAATGACCACACGGCCAGTAAACAAACGACTATGAAACATGTAAAATAATGATTTAATTGACATTGATCTGAAAACACCAAGGTAGAGTTACTTCACAAGATCGACTGAATTATAATACAATTCTGTGTCCAAATCTCAACCCAAAAACTCCACATTAAAATGTTCATAGATGACAGAAGCTTATAAAACATAATTTAAATAATACATAGCCCTACATATTGAGACAATGTTACATTTCTGAGACCGAAAAACGGTTAAGAGTGTTGGGCCAGAAACCGAAAAGTCGCTTGTTCGAATCCCTGATCCGGCAAGGTAGAAATATCTGCCGTTCTGCCCTTGAACAACACAGTTACCCCCAAACAACAACTGCTCCACAGGCGCCAATGACGTGGACGTCAATTAAGGCAGCCCCCCGCACCTCTCTGATTCAGAGGGGTTGGGTTAAATGCAGTTGTGCAACTGACTAGGTAACCCCTTTTCCTTCCCCACATACATAGTCCAAATCAGTCTCTCTCAGCTCAGAAGATCTTCCAAAATGTTTTCAAAAGGAGATTACATAGAAAACTGTGTCTGTGACTGTAAAATAACAAAGTGGATTATCTCCCAACCCAGTAGACTGGCCAAACACACCAAGCATCCCAAATGGCACCCTATTCCACAGGAGGCTGCTGATGGGAGTTCTGGCAGTGACTGTAGTTACCAGACTCTTTTCAAGAAATCATTTTCCAGGATATTTCCAGTTCTTCTCAGGTTTTTACCAGGCCATACACAACCTCACCAGTTATCAACAAACTCACTAGTTATCAAACACAACTCACTAGTTCTCACCAATTAACCCCTTAATTGGTTATGGGGTTAATTGGAAGAAGCACCTTCAATCTACAAAGATCTACTAGTGTATTATAGTGCTTCCCCCACTTGATATGTTCTATACAAATCCCTAGTTGTTTGTTTTTGAGGCTGTTTCCCTTTCTGATTCTTCTTCTTATATGGTTAACCTGGAGCTATTTCCACAGTGTACTGTGAAGGTATGACCAGGGAGTATGCCTGCCAATGAAAACTGACTAGGCTGCCCCCCCCACCCCCATCTCTCTCTCTCTTTTCTCCCCTGCCTCCCTCGCTCCTCTGCCTCCCTCTCTCCCCTGCCCAGACCTTGGCTGGCTGTACTGCTGTGTTGATCTCTCTCCAACAGTTCTGCCTCCCTCTCTCCCCTGCCCAGACCTTGGCTGGCTGTACTGCTGTGTTGATCTCTCTCCAACAGCTCTGCCTCGGAACGTTGTTTAAGCAGTTGGCTTATCACCCTCTCCCTCCTCTCCCTCCCTCCTTTCCTCCTGTCTCTCTTCTCTCTCGCCATCCTTCCTTCACTAATGCCTTTTCCCCCCTCTCTCTCTCTCTCTCTCTCTCTCTCCTCTCTCTCTCTCTCTCGCTCGCTCTCTCTCCTCTCTCTCCTCTCTCTCTCTCTCGCTGCTCTCTCTCTCTCTCTCTCTCTCTCTCTCTCTCTCTCTCTCTCTCTCCTCTCTCTCTCTCTCTGTCTCTCTCTCCCTCTCTGTCTCCCTCCCTCTCTGTCTCCCTCCCTCCTCTTTCCCCCTCTGGCCTGTTGCTCTCCTGCCCAAGTCATTGTTGGACTGCCTCTCCAACATTTCTGTCTGTGAGCAACCTGCCTACCCCTCTCCCTCTCTCCCTCCTCTCTCAACCTCCCCCCTTGGCTCTTGCCTACCACACTCGCATACCCTCTCTCCCTCCTCTCTCTTACCCTCCCTCCCTCCTCTCCTCTTGTCTATCCCCCCCTCTGGTTTCTTGCTCTGCTGCCCAAGTCACTGTTGGGCTCTAACTGCTCTGCCCTGTGAGCAGCAGGTTGAATCAGTTGGCTGTTCAGGGAGTTTTAATGAGAAACTGTAGGGTGAGAAACACAGGCTGAGTCCCAAATGGCACCCTACACAGTGCACTACTTTTGATCAGGGCCCATAGGTAGTGTACTATGTAGGGAATAGGGTGCCATTTCGGACGGACATAGAGAAACAGCAGTTCAGTTCTCTGGTACTGGCTGGTCTCTAGGAGCTAAACCAGCTAGCACAAAGCCAAGAGAAACATGGGAGGTGGCATCGTCAAAATGGAGCATGTTAACGTGTCTTTAACCTTTCAAACATGGTAGTGAGCCGCTCAACAGTGTGTCTAAAACTCAAAGGCTTAATCAGACCTAAAATCCCCAGAAGTCCCCACAAGGATAGTAAAACAAGGACAATTCTCCCTGGTGGGGACATTTCCCACGTCCCCATGAAGACAAAGGCTATTTTAAACTTAGGGGTTAGGGTTACAATTAGGGTTAGGGTTACAATTCTGGTTAGGGTAAGGGTAAGGGGTTAGTGGTTAGGTTTAGGGTTAGGGTTAGGGTTAGGGTTAGGGTTAAGGTTAGGGTTAGGGTTATGGTAAGGGTTAGGGTTAGGGAAAATAGGATTTTGAATGTAAATTAATTTTAGGTCCCCACGAGGATAGAAGAACATAATGTGTGTGTGTGTGTGTGTGTGTGTGTGTGCGTGTGCGTGTGTGTATGCATATGCGTGTGTGTGTGTGTTCATGTATGCATGCATATGAGCGTGTCAAGCATCCTTACCATGTTCATGACGGTGAGCAGGAATCTCTGCGCGGCCTCCGCCCCGTGGTACTGCACCATGTCTGAGTCTGCCACCACCACAGTCTCTACCGTATACAACCCGTTCAGATGGATGGCGTTCCTCCTTCCACGGCCCTCCTCCACTCCTTTTTGCCTCATCTCCTTCTTCCTCACTAGCACAGGGGACAGAGACACATAGATGATTGATTATTCATTGCTGTTCCAACATAGTGGAAAATGGTTAGCCTGGTTCCAGATCACACCAAACCACTAGGAGTTTGCAAGACAGCACAAACAGATGTGGGACCAGGCTAGGTCTACTGCATCTTAACAAGACAACACAACAGATGTGGTACCAGGCTAGGTTTACTGCATCTTAACAAGACAACACAACAGATGTGGCACCAGGCTAGGTCTACTGCATCTTAACAAGACAACACAACATATGTGGTACCAGGCTTACTGCATCTTAACAAAACAACACAACATATGTGGTACCAGGCTAGGTTTACTGCATCTTAACAAGACAACAAAACAGATGTGGTACCAGGCTAGGTCTACTGCATCTTAACAAGACAACACAACAGATGTGGTACCAGGCTAGGCTTACTGCATCTTAACAAAACAACACAACATATGTGGTACCAGGCTAGGTTTACTGCATCTTAACAAAACAACACAACATATGTGGTACCAGGCTAGGTTTACTGCATCTTAACAAGCCAAGCTGACAGGGACAAGAACAGAGACAACGGCAGCTAGACATTCCGTTATGCAGTCGTTGAGCTAAATAATCCCTTATAGATACTTTGATTTGGGCATGACGTCTGTTCGTTTTGGGTTAGAAAATGCTTAATAAGTTAGCGGTTGGTAACAATAGCAAGGTCAACAAAACCAGTGTGAAGCGCGTCTCTCCATGACTGGAAACACATAAGGAAACACCTTTAATAATTGGGTGATTTGGGTGAACTAACCCTTTAAGTACCGATGGACAACAGACAGATAAAGAGATGGGCAGATAAAAGAATGAGGTGCCATGAAGTTTCTCTCTCTCTCACACAAACACACCTCTCTACTTCTACTCTCCCTGTGCTTTAACTTCCTCCAGTCCTCTACAAGATACCACCACCATCAAATCAAATCAAATCAAATCAAATTGTATTGGTCACATGCGCCGAATACAACAGGTGCAGACATTACAGTGAAATGCTTACTTACAGCCCTTAACCAACAGTGCATTTATTTTAAACAAAAAAAGAGCAGAAGTAAAATAAAGTGACAGTAGGGAGGCTATATATACAGGGGGGTACCGTTGCAGAGTCACATACTCTACTCTATGACCATAAGTTCTATTAGTCCTAACCATCCCAAATGAAATAGCTTCAGTACTCTAACCAGTGTTATGAGAACAAGGCAGGGGCTGGCCCATTCGCTAAGTCGTTCCAGACTCAATGGGATCTCTAATGTCTTCCATTGGAAAGAAAAGGAACAGCTAGTTTACATAAGAATGGTGGAATAAACAATGGTCAAACCACTGCAGCGACAACAGGACTTAATGGAACACATTAAAGGGGCAATCTGCAGTTCAAACAACAAGAAAGTGGTCAACCCGTCACTGATTTGGTAAAACAGCTGAGGGATGGGGCTGGAGAAATGTAACCACTGTCAAATTCATAGACAGAGGTATGGATGCAAGGACTGACCATCCATGAGATACAAATTATTGTTTTTCCTATGTTTTGAGGCTATACAGTATTTGTTTACAATTACATTGTTTTCAAACAATTGAGTAAAACAAGCTTATATTTTGGGTTGTGATGGGGTACAACAGTTGAACTAAGCTTATAAAACATTTATAAGATATATTCTTAAACAATCTATGGGTATGTTAAATTGTAAAAGACTGAACTTCCCCTTTAAGGAGGACTCGTTGCATACACTAACTTCGGTTCTCGTCAGAGATGCATGGTTAACTAAAGCCTTAGTGCTGTAGCACCACCTCAAGCAAAACTGTGTGAGAGACCTTAGTAACAACAGATTGGGTAACACTACCTTAAAGCCAACCGTCATAATGCATTATGATGTGGTTAATGCATTATATGATGTGGTTATAATGCATCATGATGTGGTCAATACATTATGATGCGGTTAATGCATTATGATGTGGTTATAATGCATCATGATGTGGTTACATTTACATTTACATTTTAGTCATTTAGCAGACGCTCTTATCCAGAGCGACTTACAGTTAGTGAATACATATATATATATTTTTATACTGGCCCCCCGTGGGAATCGAACCCACAACCCTGGCGTTGCAAACGCCATGCTCTATCAACTGACGGCCATTCCCTCCCCTACCCTGGACGACGCTGGGCCAATTGTGCGCCGCCCATGAGTCTCCCGGTCGCGGCCGGCTGCGACAGAGCCTGGATTCGAACCAGGATCTCTAGTGACACAGTTAGCACTGCTATGCAGTGCCTTAGACCACTGCGCCACTCAGGAGTATGTGGTTAATGCATTATGATGTGGTCAATACATTATGATGTAGTTATAATGCATTATGATGTGGTCAATGCATTATGATGTGGTTATAATGCATTATGATGTGGTTATAATGCATTATGATGTGGTCAATGCATTATGATGTGGTTATAATGCACCATGATGAGGATAATGTATTATGATGTGGTTATAATGCATTATGATGTGGTTATAATGCATTATGGTGTGGTTATAATGCATTATGATGTGGTTATAATGCATTATGATGTGGTCAATGCATTATGATGTGGTTAATACATTATGATATGGTTATAATGCATTATGATGTGGTTATAATGCATTACGATGTGGTTATAATGCATTACGATGTGGTTATAATACATTATGATGTGGTTATAATGCATTATGATGTGGTTATAATGCATTACGATGTGGTTATAATGCATTATAGAGCATGGATGGTCTTCTTATAAAGTCTTACTATCATCTCATAATGATCATGCTCCTTAAAAAAATAAATCAGTCCATTGAAAAATTGTAGCACAGATTACAAGCCATATAATAAGGCATTATAAAGTTGAACTAAGCTTATAAAACATTTATAAGATATATTCTTAAACAATCTATGGGTATGTTAAATTGTAAAAGACTGAACTTCCCCTTTAAGGAGGACTCGTTGCATACACTAACTTCGGTTCTCGTCAGAGATGCATGGTTAACTAAAGCCTTAGTGCTGTAGCACCACCTCAAGCAAAACTGTGTGAGAGACCTTAGTAACAACAGATTGGGTAACACTACCTTAAAGCCAACCGTCATAATGCATTATGATGCGGTTAATGCATTATGATGTGGTTATAATGCATTATGATGTGGTCAATGCATTATGATGCGGTCAATGCATTATGATGTGGTTATAATGCACCATGATGCGGATAATGCATTATGATGTGGTTATAATGCATTATGATGTGGTTATAATGCATCATGATGTGGTTAATGCATTACGATGTAGTTATAATGCATTATGATGTGGTCAATGCATTATGATGCGGTTAATGCATTATGATGTGGTCAATACATTATGATGTAGTTATAATGCATTATGATGTGGTCAATGCATTATGATGTGGTTATAATGCATTATGATGTGGTTATAATGCATTATGATGTGGTCAATGCATTATGATGTGGTTATAATGCACCATGATGCGGATAATGCATTATGATGTGGTTATAATGCATTATGATGTGGTTATAATGTATTATGATGTGGTTATAATGCATCATGATGTGGTTATAATGCATCATGATGTGGTTAATGCATTATGATGTGGTTATAATGCATTATGATGTGGTCAATGCATTATGATGTGGTTATAATGCATCATGATGCGGATAATGCATTATGATGTGGTTATAATGCATTACGATGTGGTTATAATGCATCATGATGTGGTTAATGCATTATGATGTGGTTATAATGCATTATGATGTGGTCAATGCATTATGATGTGGTTAATACATTATGATGTGGTTATAATGCATTACGATGTGGTTATAATGCATTATAGAGCATGGATGGTCTTCTTATAAAGTCTTACTATCATCTCATAATGATCATGCTCCTAAAAAAAAAAAATCAGTCCGTTGAAAAATTGTAGCACAGATTACAAGCCATATAATAAGGCATTATAAAGGCTCATACATGCTTATAACAAGTACCTGTTACCATGGATCACAATGGTGGAAGGGGATGTCACATGCAAGTGTCCCAAATGGCACCCTATAAAACGTATATAGTGCACTACTTTTGACCAGAGCCCTATGGACCCTGATCAAAAGTAGTGTGCTATATGCAATTTCAGACGCATCCTACACTGATGATGTTGGCGACACGATTGTTCCTGACTCAGTAGATCAATACTCATGATTGATACTGTTGTTGCCATGGTTCCCTCTCTTCTTGAAGACTTTAAATAAGTATTTCAAGACTTTCAAGTTCATAACACTGTAGACTGGCAGTAGGTTTGCAAAATTCCGGTAACTTTCCCCAAAGTCCCAGGTTTTCCAGAAATCCCGGTTTGACGATTCCTGGAATCCTCCAACCAGGATTTCTGGAAAACCAGGGAATTTCGATAAAGTTACCGGAATATTGGAACTCTATCTGGGAGGATATCAATTCTATTAAAGTAACAGCCATTTACATTTGGCTGAACTGTCTGAACTGTAACTTTTAAGAACACCCATGAGATATCCCTGTTAGTGGAAGAAGGGCCATGTCATTCCATGTATTTAGTTCAATCAAACCCATTTTCCAGAATATATCTGAGCTTGTTTCTAGCATGGCTTGCATACACACGCACGAACGCACACGCACGCACTCACTCACTCACTCACTCACTCACTCACTCACTCACTCACTCACTCACTCACTCACTCACTCACTCACTCACTCACTCACTCACTCACTCACTCACTCACTCACTCACTCACTCACTCACTCACTCACTCACTCAGACATACAATCCCCACTTCTGCAGAAACCAAACTATTGGTTGTGGAGGTATTGTTTTTTAAATCTGTTGTGTGTTAAGGTTGTTTGTCTGCGTGGACAAACAATGTGGAAATATGTTTTGTTCTCAGAGAAGAAGAGTGCTTAGCTTGGG